GGGCAGAACCACTCTTGTCACTGGGGTGGTACCCTCAAGGGTACATTTCAGGGTACATAGTCAGGGAACATAATTGTACTATAATCCATTGAAATTATATATCCACACACCCCATCTCGTCTCCAGGCTTTTTATTTTATTGCTCTGTTTAAAAACATTAGGTTATGAAAATGTACAAATATGTACTTTTCACCTGGAAAAACTTATGTAACGTACACAATTGGACCTTAAAACCACTGTTGTACCTTCGAGGGAACATTTACATTGTTTATACCTTGATGAATGAAAAATGTACCACACAGAACCTTCATTTCTAACAGTGAAGATTCATAAAATTAAGTCAGATGTGCTGGTGGTGGAATTGAACAAATCTATGCAATGACTGGGATAAATAAATATTTTACACAGTTTGCTTAGGTATCTAAGACTTTTGCATTGCACTATATGCAGAGTCCAAAATGCTGTATATCCATTTGGAACAAGAAAAGGCTTGGAAAGATATGACATATTTTGTCACAAGAAAATCTTCAGGAAAGATGGTAATAATTATAATACATGCACTGATATTTTTTATTTGTGTAAAGGCCATTTCCAACAGCATATATGACAAATATTGAAAAAATATTGAAAAATTGAAAGTGGTGTTTAATGTGTTTGAAATGGTTTTCTACAATGTGTTTGTTGTATTGCCTTTTTATTGCTCATAAAATTTTGCTCATAAAACAAGACATGGCACTGTATTCTTTTGTAAATAAGGTTTTGATTCCAGCAAAGTGCAATTTCTAGACCTTACATTCAGGCATTTAAAAATCACTGCTGCTGGAAGAAAAACTTGTATCTCTGTTTTTGCCATTTTTCAGTTTTCGACATAATTTAAAAATGCCTGTTGCCCTTTACATTGTGTGTAAACTTCATGAAGAGCGGACCCAAAGAAACGACTTAAAATAACTTAGAAAAAAGTCTGGTTCCATTGGCTTACATTAACAGTAACAGTACATTAGCAGTTTTTTCCTTTTCCTGTAAAGTTATCATTTTTCGAGATACAAGGTTTTCTTTCACAAATGCAATTTAACAGTACCAAGAAACTTGTTATTGAATATATAGGGACATTTAATATCAAAGATCTACATTTCTGAAAATGGGTCAAAGGGCTTTTGAGCTTGAATGATCTGGTTCCAAGTGCACAATGTATCACTAAAACACATTCACTAGGCTGGACTTCTCTTGAACAGACAAAATGTACGCACATCTATAAGCCTTTATTCAAAGTCACAATAAGAAGACATTCAGTGAGGCGATACACACGGTAAAGAGTCACTTACAATAGCTACCTATTCATAATGAAGACCAGAAGATCTTCATCAATTACAGCAGCTCCCCTCATGTGTTACAGATGACAGTTTGCGACATTATCTGGAATCAATCGATTACACACATTTCTGAGGATCACACAAGCTCATGATTACATGACAAAATCTGCTAATGTATCTTTAAGCGAACACCGAGGCAGCATCTGAAAGGGAGAGCAAATTTGACTCATTAAAGGAGCATAAAATTGTGTCTTTGTGCGTGACCTTTTGTTCAGCATCTTTGGAGAATTCTGTTACTAAAGAGACTAGTTTTTTTGAGTGGAGCGAGGGAAGGCTCCACGGGTATTGGGTTCCTATAGGGAACAATGCCGATAGGTTCACCTTGCAGAGCATGGGTGTAACTTAGCCTGGAATATTGTGGATCAAAGCCTCATAAACAAAGTAGGTGGAAACGCTGTAAGAGTATATGGGATACGGCAAAGGACACAGGCATGAAAGAAGCAGGCCGTACTTTAGGAAGCGTAGGAGGCAAAACTGATTTTGTCATTCTGCTGTGTTTCCTTCACTCTTTTTCATTGGGAACCTTTAAACTGGTAAGAGAAAGTACACAAAGCTGAGCACAGTGAGCTACTTAACTGAGCCTATTCATTTATTCTATAGTCAGTGTAATACTTGTGTGATTATATACATGGCTATATGAGCTATATGACAATTATGACTATACATAATCAAATACATATGCATTGCCTGTCAAAAGTTGTGACACACACAGAGAAGGGCGTTCTTTATTTTAACTATGTTCTACATTTTAGTAACAACCATGAAATACACATATGAAATTACACAATAGTGTTAAACAAACTTCAATTCAACTTCAAACAACTTCCATTTTATATTCTTCAAAGCAGCGCTCTTCTGCCTTTATGTAGCTTTTCACTCTGTCGGTGTTCGCTCAACAGCCACCTGAGACGCGTTTCCAACAGGACTGAAAAACAGGACTGAAGAAGAAGTCACTCTCCGGACAAAAACTTACAACTACCTTTTCCTTTTTTTTTTTAATTATTTATTTACTTATTTTTGCGAACACTGACTGTCATGTACATTGTGTGACAATTTCATGATGAATGGACCAACAGTCATGCTAAAATTATTGGATAATTTCTTGTTCAGTTCATTTCATTCAAAGTTAAGAAGGTTTTTTCCTTCTACTGTAAAGTTACCATTTTGGAGATTGGAAGTTTTGTTCCAACGGCACTGAGATTTGCTGCTGAGCAGTACTGTAAAAAATGACTGGTAAATGGATTATTCCAAACAGTATATTTGTAAAATTAAACATTTTTTAAAGTAAATTCATACATGAACTTTGGTATTTATATTTTTCTTCAAAATCAAAAGGCAAATATTTCAAGCATTTAAGTATACACCTTTCAACCATAAAGTCTATCTATCTATCTATCTATCTATCTATCTATCTGTCTGTCTGTCTGTCTGTCTGTCTGTCTATCTATCTATCTATCTATCTATCTATCTATCTATCTATCTATCTATCTATCACATATCTGCATAAAGGGCCCATATTCTGTCTGGCATCTTACTTTTCCCTCTGGTTCAATTACAACATTTGTGCAGGGTTTATGGACCAAAAACAGATGTCAGGCTATTTTCGTCACTGTGTCTTTAAGGCTGACACATGTAAAAGGATATATTTTCTAATTGGCTGCTGCGTTTTATGATTCATTTAAAAAGAAGTCAAGACTGAAACACTCTGTATCACTTCAGCATGAATGGGAGGGGCTGTATAAACAGATATATGTAAATACATTGTTACGTTACGTATACGTTGTTTTGGTAACATTTGGTAACATTATAAATTAAAAGAAAGAAAACGTTTTTACACTATTTCTAGTTCACTATTACAGTTTTGGTAACATTGTGACATTGCAGGAAAGTTTAGTTTTATTTTACTCTTATCTCCTCTACTGAAACTTGTGTTCAGACATCTCTCAGGTGGAGCTGATCTTCTCATCAGATGCTTTTGCACAAACTTGTCATGTTCAGCTTGAGTGCACGCTCTCATTACAGCATACCAAATATGAAGAAATTCTGAAATTCATGTAGGTGTTTCAGATTCTACTTCGACTTTCACTCAAATTATCTTGATAATTTATACTGTTATGAAAACCTTTGTATTAAATCAGAAAAGAGTGCAAAATATAAGCAATTTCAGTAGAGGGGACCTTAAGACCCCACTGCTCTATGTGTGCATATATATATATATATATATATATATATATATGTATGCATGTATGCATAATGGGACAATTCTGAATACTTCATGATTTTCATCATCTTGGCTATGACTGGAAAACTACAAGAGCGGAAATGTTCTCTTTGTGTGTGCAGCATGCTCTGTGACCTGCTGATCTCCACAATAAAGCCATAATAGCCCCTCACCTCCCCAAGGAGCACCCCAGCAACCTGGCCCTCTTATGGAAGCAGCAGGTCACCACGAGTGCGCATGGAGAGCTGCGAGAGAAAGAAAATGCTGATACGTCTTTATGAGGCCAAAGGACTGACATCAAAATAAACAGATGTGCACCTGTCATAAACCTTCAGAGGGGATTCACATACAGCCCTTATTCATATCCAACATGTCAAATGGCAATTGTCAAGCTTGACCAGCATGAAAAGCTCTGGCTCTGCCTCAAGCCCCCACTCAACATCTCATCACTGTCCTTATGAAGTGTTCTTATGGGCCACACAGCCAAGCTTGATCTCCAAATATGAGTTTGGAAGATGAGGGTTTTTTTTCTCCCCTCTTTTTTTCCCTCATGCTCGCTGCCTCCTTTATTAGTAGCTAAGCTCTTTACACTTGTAGCATATTGCAGCAGGTTAGGAGCCTAAGCCTTATTGTCCCACATTATTGAAAATCTAGGCTGTGAGAGTCAGCCCCTGGAGGTCAAGCTTTGTCTGAGCGTACTCTCGCTCTCATTTCTCAGGCGACAAGAGGCAACACTGGGGGAGGACAGACAAGATTGAGCTGGTAATACACTTAAATCCATCTTGGTTGACTTACCACAAACTTCCACCTATCCCCACGGCTTCTCGTGAGCTGAAATAATTCCTTTATAACTTACAAGAGCAGAAACTATGACTTATGAATTCATAGCAACACAGGCAGTATTATAAGTCTGTCGAAGTCGAGGGCTGTTTTATGAGGTAGTCTGAATAGGCCGGTACTTGTCACAGTAAACTGGAGGAAAGATGCTCATGTCAAATTGAGGAGCTCCTCTGAGGTTTCAGATACAGATACAGATAAACAGCCATCCTTGCCTTTCATTAGCGCCATAATAAAGTCACACTTATGTGGTCTATTCAAAGCCTAGTTTCTTCTATGTGTTTATGAACAGAATTCATCATTACACATTATGTATGAATCCAAAACAAGGCAGGTTATTTCACAGAGGCTACTGTTTTTCTCAGCAGTAAAAATTGACCCTTTATTTGTTAACATATGTAATTTTGCAATTATGCATCAAATCACGCAATAAGGTCCTGAGATCAATGTGCCAATGTAATGCGGCACATCTCAGTGTGCAGGTGCAGTACAGAGTGGCACAGCACCACCTGCTGTTCACTGAAGAAAGTACTACACACTTAATCAATATAAATTAAAGCACCAAGACAGTCTTACTCAAATTAGACTTTATGTAAAATGTTACATAATTGTATCCGGTTAAAAGATGAGGTCATTACAACAAGAGGCTACTGACCCACCCCTTCCTTCTCACAAGGAACACTTCACATGGCAGAACTTAAAAGGGAAAGAAAAGAATATGAAAGAAGATAAATCTACAATATCTTCTTACGGAGTCTGTTGATAAAAGATATAAAAAGCTGAAAGAGGGTTTTACATTCTTGGTTTGAACTGAAAATATTTGTACATTACAGGTCCATAACAACAATTTGTCATTTACTTTAATAACAATAATGTGAAAAAACAATTTGATAAATCAACAATAGACCAAATAAATCTGTGAAAAAAACAAAAGAAATCATACTCGAAAAAGGTACAGGAATCTACAAAATCACCTACAAAAGGATCATTGTGTTTTGTAAAGGCATGGTAAACCTCTCAAACACACAATTGCATTTAATCTGTACTAAATAAAAAAGGAATAAGTCCCTTAGGCCAAGCAGTAGTATATGGCTTTTCATAAATCATACTGGTGGCATTTCCCTCAAACTACACTGTAGTAGTATCCAAATTACCATTCATATTGAATGTTAGAATATGAAATTAGTACTAATGTCCTGTGGTCAGCCCTTCCATTAACTGTGCAGTCAATCGGGTGCTAATATAAGCTACAGGTGACATTACCGTAATACAGTACTTCTGAGCAATAAACAAGGATAAACAAGGCACAACGTGTGCTGTGATAAGCGCTGGACAAAGTGCAGGCTACTCCTCCTCTCACTGGCCTGTTCCCTTCAGTCTCCTTCCTTATTCATCCTCTGCAGGACCCGCCTGACCTTGTGATCAATACCTCTGCATGATATGATTTATATGGCCCTGAGAGACACACATGGAGAAAACATTGATGTGACACAGGTCACCTTTCCGCAGCGCCAATGTCATTTCACACATAATGTTCATTAACCCTTCGCAAATTGATATTCATATATGCTGACTTCTGCTAAGGTGGATCTAAAGAGCCCAGCGGTGAGATCGGCCGTTAGCTGCCCCCGCCTCCAGGTAAACCGTTCGAAACGTGTATTTCTTTATCATCAGAAACATGTATTGATTTGCTAAAAGTGAGACATTTCCAAAGGCAATCTCACTGCAGTCAATAATGCTGTGGGGCATATGGATGCGCATGCTGAAAGCATACAGTTCCCAAATAAAGTATAAAGTTTGCAGCGAGTATGTGTGCATACAATTTGTGGTTATCATCAGACTGTATCATCATAACACTGCAATATTATGCAAGTATTGCGGCCTCTGGCCTTGTAAATGAGCTCAGAGAGATAAGTAAACTAGAAAGACAGCACTTTATATCTCACCGGTTCTCCTGCCATGCATCTGGGGCAACACTGTTGAGCACCGCCATTCTGAGTTGCCAGAACCTGTTAAAAAGCCCACACATATACAATTCAACATAGTATACGCACATGCACATGCACATACAATTCAAAGTCAATATGATAATGAATTCAGCTATAGGTTCTACATCCAATTGCACAAGTTGAACTTCTTCTTATAGAGCCATATCCTCAAAAGTAGACATGCACAGATCGTGAATTTTTTTGGCCTCCGATTCAGATTTCTTTACAGGCAAACTGCTAATTTTTATTATCCTTTCTTTCACTCGAACATACAGGGCCTTATTCATCAAAACTGTGTATAATCAAATCTGATAAATTTCACAATTGGACAGTTTTGGTATTTTTCACTTTCATCTCTTTAGCATATCTGTACAATCAAACTCACGTCCTGTGAGAGTGTGCGTAAATTTGAGTGTAATAATTTAGTAACCTGAAAAAAATGCTTGATTTGCAGTTAATTAACCAAAATTATTATCAACATCATCGATAATACCAATGACAAGAATAAAAATAGAAAGAACAATAATACTAATAGACTGTGCACATGGTACTCCAGTACAACTAACGCAACTGCTCCATGTTCCATTTAAAGACATATGACACTGCACTTTTATTTTATATTACTGACACCAACCAAAAAATAAAAAAGTACAACACAGCTAGTGCAGAAGCATTTAATACACTATGTAATAACAGTGTTCATATGTAATTTTAGGAAAATAAACACACTACACAATCACATCGCTCTACTGTCTTAGAAAAATGAAAATGCTTTGTTTATTTTACAATTTATTCTTTCCAGTGGTTGTACTTTTAACATTATAAAGGTTTGGTCAGTTGGGGTACCCTCAAACTCTGCCTAGGAGCACAGCTATGAGCTCACACGCTACTTAATGCTGTCATTTTTACTGGCTACCTAATGAAACATCTGCATGCTTCAAGCAAATGATATGTAAATGAAATGCTTTTAAGGTGGCGCTTGATTTCACACTCATTTGCACACAATTCACAATTTCCACTTGTTTCAACGTTGTACAAAAGTTTCATGAATCAGATGCAGAGAAGTTTGTACGTTGGTAAAGGCAGTCAAATTTGCACTCTTCTAACAGAACTTGTGAATAAGGGTCACCATGTGGGCCAAATGAACACATAAAACAGACCAACACATTTCCAGTACTCTCTATCTTACAAGCCACAATATAAATAACATTATTTGCTCTTTAATGGGCCAAACTGGCTTAACTGACACTTCCTTCTGGTAAAAGATTCAAGGCCATCAAAACCAGCACAACCAGACATGCTAACAGCTTTTCTCCCAGTGCTGTAGCGCTCATTTTCCACAGTGGACACCTTCCACTTTAAACTTCCACTAAACCAAACAAACCTCCTTATTTTATTACAGTAACTCTTCTGTAACATCATGCTTATTAGCACAACGGTACAGATATTGAATTTGCAAATGTTCATATCATTCTGTAATATTCTGTATATCGATCTCCATTTTTGTTGTTTTTCAGTTTTTGACATAATTTAAAGGTGCCTGTTACCCTTTACATTGTGTGTCAATTTCACGGTGAATGGACCAAAAGAAATGGCCAAAAATGAGACAGAAAAAAGACTTGTTCCACTGACTTACATTAAAAGCGTTTTTTTCAAAAAAGGTTTTGTTTTTTTACAAAAAAAGGTTTTTTCCTTCTCCTGTAAAGTTATCATGTTGGAGATACGAGGTTTTGTTCCGATATAACAGTTTTTATAGTATCTTCTACTCAGACCTGCATAGGTACAGATATTCATATCGGCATATGTACAGATATTCACACATCTCTTTAGCTCCTTTTACATGGCTCTTTTGTTATTCTTCATAGTTTATTTCTCATTCTTTATACTTTTTATTGTATTTTTATTTTAAACGTTCCCTTAGTATGTTATATGTCATACATGTGTGCAAAATTTCTTGTATGTATAACATACTTGGCAAAATAAAGCGCTACAGTGCTACATCGAAAGTAAGAGGGAACTGGCTATTCAGCACAATGAGTCATGCAAAATTACGCTGCAAGGTTTTGGTAAAGGCGTAGCAGCAGAATTCAAATACACGGCAAGAGCACATACCTGCCTCAAATCATTCATGTCATAAACTACAACACAAATCGGCCAAAATCAAAACAAAAAATTGACCAATTGTCAATTGCAGGTTTGAAGCAAAAACATTCACCAATTCCGATGCACCCCTGCTGAAAAGCATACAGTATGTTGCAGTGCAGTGCGAAGCAAAGTGAAGCTACTTTCTTCAAAACGGGCGCTGTTTAGTAACCAAAAGTCAACCCTTTAATAACATGCCAAATGAGTGACTAATTCTGCCTCTTAATCTCCTCCTCTCCAACAATAACATTATTTCTCAGTGCTGTGGTCATATTTGCTTTGATGTAAAAAGAACATCACCTAACAAAGACAAAATCCTATATTCTTCACTTTTCAGTCACTTTTTACTGTTAACCTGGTTTAAAAAGTCAACATTAAGCATTTCTTAAGTGATGTGAATTCAGTTGTGAATGTGTGTGCGCACACTTGCTCAGAAACGATTAGTGTCCTAGTATACAAGCAGCACTGTGCTTCTTTTTCTTCTATGATCAGGTTAAGTAAGTCTTAGCATGATGTTAACCTGTTAACATCCAGGTAATTAAACCAGTCTAGTACAATCTAGTTCAGTCACCCAGAGTGGGATAAGTTCACTGATGATTCCCTTATCTGCTTGCTATATAAAAACACTGTAATTACAAACAATGCACTCTTTTTTAGAGGGGCACTCTAGAGAGAAGATGATGAATCTGTTTCACAGTTTCACCAAACAAACTTCAGGTAGCTTTTAAACTGTTTTCCTTTTCTTCATAACTCTTGTGCCACTGAGCTTGCAAAAAACATCCGTTGTTTACCAAAGTTATTTATTACCTTTTCCAACCCTCTAAAATTAGGTTAGGGAATTTGAAATTACTACTGGGGAACTGTCTGCATGCATACTGCAAGGCATTCCACTGTGCAAGACATTCATCTCCTCCTACAATCAGTCCGCAGTGTCCTACTAGACGAGCCTGGATTTTTTAGTAGTGTCATACTATAAAATTATCCTAAAAAGAAAAAAAAAAATGTGCAAAAGTACTCAGAAAAAATACTTTTATGTTAAGCATGTGGCTATACTGCCCTAATGAATCTAAACCCCTGGCTAACGGAAAACTCCAAAAGTGGAGAATTACAACACTTTTACAGTTTGGTCTGAATTTTAGTGTGCTGAATTTTATCATGCACTTCACACCAATCTGGCACTCAGGCTTCAGTAATAGTACTAGGAGGTTCTAGACTACTGTGAGTAGAATACCAGCTTATGACCTTGAGAATGGTACCACTGGGTTAGCTCAGACCTTTGCTCACCAACATTTTGTTTTTCTCTTGTTTAAGAACAATTGTGGCAAGTAAGTGCAGCCCAACTACAATATTTTGTCCTTGGCCTGTGAATTACTAACCTTGCCTATCCTCATAGCACCATCAGAGGACTCTGTGGATGTGATATATGCCACAGTGGGATCACTTAAGCTTTGAACATGTTTTCAGCTTCCTAGCCATTTTTTAGTTCCTCACTATATTTCACTCTACATGGTCCTTAATATTATATTCCCTAAACACTGATCACGGTGATCATGAGATGTCATTTTCTGTTGATCAAATTCATCAACATCATCAATCAAGGCAATGTGTTCATAAAGAGAAACAATCAATATTTAATTATATTTTACATATTTTATGTTTTAAACAGGCTTTGATTCTACAGAGATCTGTTTATATACACTGCATAATACTCAGATGAATAAAAGTTCACATAAAAAACTTTTTCAGTGCTTGTTGTGTCTAGGGGTGCAACGATTAATTGACTTAGTTGACTAAAATCGAGGACCAAGTTAGTTGCCAACTAATTTAATAGTCGATTAGTTGGTGACATCATCCCACGTGTTTCTAGTGCTAACTAGGAATGTTTTGACATGACTGCTTACTGGAGAGTGAACAAAAACACGAGGATAGCCTCAAGAACAAAGTGTGGGAGCATTTCACGCTTAACTCTGAAAAAAATGTTGTTAGTTGTGCCGTTTGTAAAGCCGTCCTTAGCTGGCACTGGATCACATCCTCCATGTTGGAGCATCTGAAGAGGAAACGTGTCGGCTCACTGGGTGAAGAAGATTCATCTCAGTAAGATAGTTAGCTAATGTTAATATTAAAAGTCATCCTACTTCATGTTATGAGCTGTAATATTTTCTATTTCGAAATGCGTGTTCTCTGACACTTTTTTGGGGCGGTCAACATCGCTGCTGGACTGCATTCAGCTCCATTACAGAGCTGCAGTTTAAGAAAGTTATTGTCCAACATTATACTATTTCAATAATATTGCACTCAGAAAGCAGGATATGATTATATAATGGAGAGAACACAGAGATCCACGCTCATGTTTGTGTGTTGTTTATTGTTTGTGTGATGTTTGTGTACAGATATGGCTGCGTGGTTGGTGAAGCACAGAGAACCTGTTGGCGTGATTAAGGGAAAACTGATTTAGTTTTGTTGCATGTTATTGCTGCACATCATGAAAAAAAATGTTGTTTTATTTGTCTTCTGTATTAGCAGAAAAGTTCATTAAATCAGTGAATTTTTAAATAAGGTATTCATCTTTATTGTCTTCACTGTTAGTTAGCGATGGATAAAACAACCTCAAGCTAAATTTTAAAAGTGATAGCTACATAAGAGTTATTTGGTAACTGAGCGATTCATAATCCGAATTATTTGTTTCGATAATCAATAGATTATTCGACTTCAAAATAGTCATTTGTTGCAGCTCTAGTCATGTCAGCCCTCTTATGAAAACAAACTTTGCCAGAAATTGCCAGAATTTATAGAATTCATAAGTGCCTTTAGAAAAAGTCCAGCCTTTTGAGTATTAGTGTGCACACACTCCTCCCCTCCCACTTTTCTCTGATAGGATGCACCCAGAAGCCTAGCTTTGATGAGTATGGTTTCTATGAAAGATGACAAATAAAAGACCCTCAGAAGAGACCACCAGGCATATGAGATACTATTACTGTATTGAAATCATTACAACCAAATCATTCACTACTCCCTACACCAGGAGCATCCAATCTTACTCACAAAGCACTGCTGTGGCAGAAGCACAGGTGATTCTACTGGTTTAATCGGCTAGTCTTTAACAACTCATGTGTTCTTTTGCTTTGTTGTAATAAAAACTTGAGGCCACATCAACCCTTTGTAGATAAGATTAGACACTGCTGTCTTACAGAAGTTCCCTTTAAAGTGAACATTTTCACTCCCTACAGTGTGTAATCTTTCTTAACATGTCTGAATAACATGTATAGGGAACTACTGGGTACCCTCTGTAACTTGTGCACTCTGAGTGCACTTTGTGCCAGTGACTCAGAGTTGCTGGAGTGCACTCTGACTATCAAAAAACAGGTGGTAAGGAAACAAGCCAAGGTCAAGAATTCTACCTTAGTGGACACGTGGTGGTTGTTGATTGTGTCCTTCAGAGGGTTGACCTGCTGGGTCTCCCAGGTGTCCATTGGGCTCTCGGTCAAGGTGCCATATTCAACCTGGACACAGCTTTCCAGTCCATTGCACACTCTTTTCTGACAAATTCAGGGAAAGAAGACAGCCTTGTGTGTTTATATTCGAAAACAAGGATTGATTGAGTGATGAGCAAACAGTATTGTATGGGCTACAGCAGCGTAGGCCCTCCATCTATAACTTACATAACTTATTTCTGCTAATAATAGCTTTGTCAGAGAGCCATTACCATCAAGGGCAGTGCAGTATCTGGGCAGACGTGAAACCAACCAGAATAAATGACCTCTGACAACGATGTTGGCTAATGCTACACGCTTAAAAAAAGCTGGCTCTTCAAGGGTTCCTTAGTAAAGGCAATGGTTCTGATGGTTCTCTGTAGAACTATTTAATGCTTAAATGTTTTTTTTTATGGCAAAATGGTTCTTCAGATTGATGGAGAATTTGTTGTATATGGGTACATATAGCATCAATTGTTTGTTACAATCTTGACATCGAAACAATACAAGAACCCTTTTTGGTGCTATATAGAACCATTTTCAAAAAAGGTTCTATATAAAACAATATACAACACATTCTCCATCAATCTGAAGAACCATGCAAAGATCCATTTAGGCATGAAATGGTTCTGTATAGATCTCCTGGTTCTAAACAGAACCCCTGCCTTTACTAAAGAGCCCTTGCAGAACCATCTTTTTTAAGCGTGTAGGTGTAACGCTTTTAAGGAGACTAAGGTTCAAAACAGAGCCTTTATTTACCGCCTGGAAGTCCCACTCTTCTTCTTCATCTCCCTCTCGGCCTCTCTTGTTCTTCAGTAGTGGGCTTATATAATCCATCGACATGACGAGCGGATTTCTTGCGCTCTCAAAGGTCTTATCAAGGACGAGTTAGTTCAGTAAAACTACCTAACAGCTTCTAATAAAGGCGAGAAACGCTGGAATTCAGTCCGGGTAATGTATCATCATGTAAACAGTCGAGGAATTAAAAAAAGGTTACCATGCACTTCGTTTTAAATCGTGAAAAAGTTTGTATGAAAAGGCACCGTAGATTAAATAAAAACACCTCAAAATTATATTTGCTCCAAGTCAGTAATAAAAAAGAAACGTGGACGGACCCAAATCGGTGCTTTCCGCCGCTGAGAAGTTTCCTCCGTTTTCTCCTGTTTAATTTTTCCTGTTGTGCTCGTGTTTCATGACAGACCGTCTGTTTAGCCAATGGGGTGCGAGTGTAGTCCATTAGAGGCGGGATCACTGAGAATACGGCATTTTGATTGGCTAAAGGGACTTTTAGCGCGAAAGCGCGACCTATCATCTTCAAAGTCACTGATAGCCGGGTTAATTTTAACAGCACGTGCATTATAACTATAATGTCCATTTACAGGGATTATTTCCGTGAGGGAAATTGGAAAGATAGAACAGTTTAATCAACAGTTCGACGTCGCATTAGATCATTTCTATACAATTTCTTTTGATTCATATTATCTTGCATGGTATGGTTTGTCTGAAATGTAATATTGTAAAATATCTCACATTTTGCCAGCAAAAATACACAGATAACTGTGAAGAAAAAAGGTCACGCTTTTGTGCATTATAGATCACAATCACGATGACCCTTGATGTGATATAACCAGAGGGGGGTAGAGTAGCCATACCCACACACAAGCAAAAGTACTGGTACTTCAATTGAAAATAACTCAAGTGAAACTAACAATAAAAGTAGAAGTACCAACACATCAGATGAGAAAACTTCTTAAGCACCGAGTAACTTATTGATCTGCAGTGGGATCTCTTAGTACATCCAGCATCTATCAGCATGAGCATTCAGGTTTATTTAGTTCTACTCTTCTCTTTTTAGACCCTTTTGGTCTAAAATTATCTGATAAAGCCACAAAGTGAGAGATGCGACCAGTCACAAAGTACAAGATGTCACCAGCAGAACATGTCAGAAAAAATAGAAAAAGGGAATTACTATTAGCTACAAACATCAATGACAAAAAAATGTTAAATGCATAAAGGCTGACCACTGATTTAAAGAAATATAATATTCTATATTATCATATAGTGTAAAACATGACAAAACATTGCTGTAAAGATATACATATAGAAAAACACAAACAATCACCAATTCTTTTTAGGTTAACCAGACATTAAACGGAAATAAATTTGGTTTCACTTTACTAAGAAGACGTTTCGTAGATTGATTAGTAATGCCTTCACGGGCGAAAACCAGTGAATAGGTACGCGGCTACATTTGCCTGCAGTCATGGCGAACTTGACGGACGTAGCGACGCCGCAGCAGTTTGAGGAGCTACTAAAAAAGGCCGGCAGGTGTGTAAAAATACCGTCCTCTTACTCAGTCTCAGTAAAAACAGACAACCAGCCTCTAAACCGTCGGACAAAGCAACAAAAATGACAACAGATAATGTAACTGTCGTTAGCTTAAATGAGGCTACCGGTTAGCTTAGCTGGTCGCAGATTAGGAGCATGTTGGTTAGTTAGCTGTGCTAGCTCGCGTTTATATGAACTGAAACCACAATAATATTAATCATTATCATTCACCTTTTATTTACGTTAATAATAATGTGGTGACGATGTTATATGAGTGCATGTAAGTGACAGTGCTATGACACAAGTTGATATGAAGTGTTTTTGTAAGTTAACACTTTTCATAGAAGGGAATGCAGCTCGATTTGCTCGGCTTGCTTCACTTCAAGCTGGTGGAACAGCCACAAATGAAACAATGCCACAAAAAAGGATAAAAACAAAAAATATTTTAAAGCTAAGGATGCTAAAGTTGGCTGAGCAGCAGACAGTCGGGTGTAATAAAAGGGAATTCCACCATTTTTCAAAATTTCTGAATAATTCAGGCCTTGAGATGTCAACAGGGTCATTCAGAGTGGTTTGATGTGAAGTGGTTCATTGAAGAGAAACTCACAGACTCCTTTCTTAACAGTGGTGGAGATGGGAACCAGAGATCGCTATGTTTACAACACAAATATAGCCGTTTTGTTTACTAGCCAAAACCACCAGTGAACCTACACGTGTCTTATGTCAAAATAAAAAATAAATAAATCTTAAGGTTTTTTTTTGGGGACTAACTACTTTGCCGTACAGTGTCCTGCATGTATCCCTCTGCCATTAATGTATTAAAATAAATAGATTAAAATACTTTCTAGTAAAAAGTATCATAAAAATGTGTCCGGCACCATATATCTAACTGTTTCTTATATTAACTTTCCGTGAGGGAGCTTTCAGAGACATTAAACTATTCAGATGGCTGGTTTCCGTCACCACCACTGTGAACAGTTCTGGCTCAACAAGTTTCTTTAGAACAGAGCATTTCACACGAAAGCACTCTGAACCATTTAATTTTGTGTAATTTTTGTAAATTCGGTAGAGTCCACATTACTGCTGTTGGTAGACTTTAATCTTGAGTAGGCTTTGCTATCTTAACTAGAGAGTAACTTATTTCCCATGTCATTTATATCAGAAGGTATATTTCCAATTTGAAAGCACATTTTATGTTTAGGTGACTGATATGCCTCTCCCCTCACCCTTGTTGTGCTACATTTTGGTTTTACGGCTGCTCTTCCTGCTTTTCTGTCTACTTGTCTAGACTTGTTTCTCTTGGCTGAATTGCTGGACATGAACTTTGTGCTTAATTATATAAACTGTGCCTGTTAGTAATTAGTAGTCTTAAAGGGTCATCCCAAAACAGTGTCTCTTTTTTCCTGTTTTTTCTTATCGTATTACGTCCACATGCCTAACCTGCTGTACTCTACAGCACAGAACTTCTTATATTAGTAGATCCCTTTGGTGGGTTTTGCTGTGTGGCTCAACATATTTTCTCAGAAAATTTTTGATCATGTAATAGTACATGTATAATGATAAACATTTTTTCAATGATTTTCAATTCAAGGAAGATTCAGTTAAATTTTTGAGATTTTATGTTAAATTGTCTCGAAACACACTGAAAACTGTTTGGGCACAGTGTTAGACTTACAGTATTCCCTACATGAGTTCCTAAGTAGAGCTTTTTTGTGTGCCAGCCCCCTGATGAAGTAAGCCATATGGCTGGAATGGCTGCAGGTCTTCTTTCTTACAAAGTAGGAGCACACTGGATATTATGAATCACTTGTTTTAAGACTAAGACCAGCTGATTAAACAATTGGAATCAAGTATGTTTCTGCTCAATTGAAATGAAAACCTGCAGCCACATCAGCCCTTTGTGGCCCCAGCACTATTTGATCATAAACTGAAATTAATTAGCAGGTAGACCGTTAAGATAAGTTCAATTTTAGTAGCCATAATACTGTGCAGACCAGAAGGCAATGTTAAATGACATGACACTTGGTCAGTCTGCTCTATGCAGCGGTTTATTCCCAGTATCGTTCAGCTGATGAAGTAATGATTTCAATCAAGAGTGGAGCAAAGAAAATGTGTAACTGTGTAGCACTGCACACAGTTTTTCATGCTTTTACATGCTTGACCAAACTGACAAAGGTCTTGATATTATATGTGTGGGAGCATGTGTATGAGATCCCAGGAATAGGATTGAGAACCATGAAACCATGATTTTAATCTTAAGTATCTTCATTTAGAGCTGTAAATGTTTGGCTAATTACTAAGCCCTTTATGAGTTGAACGTAGCTTTCCAAGAATGTTTATCCTGCACCAACAGACCTGATTCAGCTTATCACATAATTAACAGGACTTTCCTGAGTGTGTTATGGGAAAACGCTAAATGTGCAAGACAGGACTACTCCAGGACCAGAACTGAGAACCACTGATTTAGAGTGAGGCTTTAAGTGTTTACCATGATGTAATCCACTATAAATGGTAACCAGTGGAGTCCTTGGACATGAATGCAGTGTAAAAAGAAGAAGCAAGTTTACCTGCTGCTGTATTAGTTGTAGGCATATTGTATTTTGTTCACCACTAAACTATATGCATGGCTTAGTAATTAAGCATGGTGAGTGTGAAAGTGTGAAATATGGTAGTTATTCAGAACATTACTTTGTGAAGCTCTCACAGCAGCACGTGTTGTTGCATGATGTAGCTTAGATGTAGGATCATTATTGTAGTAACATTTCCCTTTTCTCTCTGTTGTTGTTAGGTCTCTCACAGTTGTCCATTTCCATGCACCATGGGCTCCACAGTGCTCTCAGATGAACGATGTGATGGAGGAGTTAGCCAAGGAGCACAAACATACCATGTTTGTCAAGGTAGGTTCACTAGTATTCTCCATTTGTGCCATCTTGAAGGTACAAAATGCCTGTAGGTTTGATTGAATACTTAATGATGGTTTCAGGTTGGCATTTAAAAGAAGTAAATTTAAGGAGCACCACAGTATGCCTTTCAACCTTCCCTAATATATAATGCCCACTCTGTGTATTTTGAAAGCCCTTTCTTAAAACATATAACTGTTAAGTATGTGTTTGAGTAACTGTAAACGTCTCAACAGTTCCATCCATTATGGATTCCACAATGATTTAATATGGTGTAATATTCCTGCGGAGCTGGGCCAAGTGGTTACTCATGCTTTGATTTATTTTATTTATTTGATTCACTGCAGTAAACTAACTTCAGATTTAGACTCTGATTCATCGTCCAGCATTGAACAGTTTGTTTAAAGATATTTAGAAATCTATACATACAATAAAAGTCTCTGAAATGTAGAAATCTACAATAAAAGTACATCAGTTCCTGATTAGTTAAAACTGGTTGAAGAACTAAATGCAGACATTATAATATGAAGAAAACTGTGTCTGCCTGAGGAATGGACTGAGAAAACAAGTACTTCTATGTTTTTCTGTGTCTCATGAGATTTGTTATGTGATTTTGCAAGAAGGTGCACCACTTAGTATTAGGCTAAAATGCTTTTTTTCATGAATATGTTACTGTTGGAGATTCCTTAGCTTCTTTATTACTTTTTGTTTTTTAATAAATACTGTTCAATTATCTGTTTTATATCATAATAAACGCAGCTTGGAAGGTAAACCTCTATACAGCCTTATGACCTTAATAAAGATGGTGTGATTGAATGATTGCTTTTTTCCTTTTAAATTAGACTAAGATGTAAGATTTTAAATGAACCCATTTTACTCCTTTAATTTTAAACTCACACATACCTTCTAGGTTGCACAGGCTTTCTTATTGTCAAAGGACTGTGCGGACTGTTAAATTGCCCAAGGCTTTGTGTGACCTTGACTGCCATGTGTCCCAAAGACCACTAGAGGGCTCTAGAGAGACCTCTAATAAGTCAGTATCGGTCAATATTACCTTTGTTCTAGGAAGTTATAGATTATTTCATCCAAAAGCCACATTCATAACTTTGGTCTTACTGAGTCACTGGATTTAGAACATGTAGCTAAGCTTTCTGCATTAGAGAATTCCTGAATGAGCAGTTTTAGTGTAATCTCATCTGCTGTGCATGCATTAGTTTGTTTGTGGTTTGTCTCTCATTAATTGCTACAGTGTTTCATCATGGGATTATTTTTAATAAATGCTATTTGTATTGGAATGCAGTACACATAAATGCTTGCAGTGGGACCACACAGGGCTGTTTTGGAGTGCTGTCCCTATTTATGTCCTAATTTGACCAGCCAGTCCCTAGTCAAGGCTTGTCAACTATGATCCTCCAGCTCATTGCTCTTGTCAGAAGCCCAAACTGCAGTATTAGCCTGGGGCGGAGGGTAACTACTGCAATCATGACATAACCTGGGTCAGTGATTTATGGATTTCAATATCTGGTGGCTAAATATGACTGGAAATTTACCAGGTCAGTAGTGCGTCAAGGTTTTCTCCCGTTCACTTTGCCTTTGTCTCTCTCTCTCTCTCTCTCTCTCTCTCACTCTCTCTCACAGCTGGAGGCTGAAGCAGTCCCTGAGGTGTCTGAGAAATATGAGATCAGCTCAGTTCCTACGTTCCTCTTTTTCAAGGTATGATTTTACTCCTATAGAGCACTTCAAGCTTATATTCACAAATGGTCCCCCAAACTATAAGCTATTATAAATCATTGCTATCCGAAATGTCAGGAAAATATTCCACCTGATTTAAAATGTTGTCCTGCCTTTTTACCCCCCACATAAAGTTGGAAGATTGCTGACTAAATGTAGCTTCATAATTATAGACAGCGCTGTCAGTGCAACAAAGCTGTGGTTTTTCGAAGCATAGTTTTGCATGAGCTTATATGAGTTTCATGCTCCACTTTGCCCTGTTTTGTAAGCAGGATTTAATCCAAGAATTAACCAGTGAAGTGACAGTGAAATTTTATTTAAGTTAAACAATAGTCTGTGAATCTGATAGCCAGCTGAATGTGAGTATGTGCTTAGGATTGTTAAAACAGGTGCTGATGAACATCTTCAGCAGCAAAATAAACTACTGTGTTTCTCTTTAAAGTCTTTCATTGTGAGTTCCATCCATCTTAGGTCATGTCCCACATACTGTCACTGTCATAATGAAACCTTTGTAGGGGAGAGCAGGACACAAACCAACACAGGGTAAAATGTAACTTGCATATTTTATGTAGTTAAATAGATTCAAAGTCAAATGTGCTTTTAGACATGTTGCTACGAAAATTTGAGAATGCCATCTGCAAATTTTGACAGCAATTAGACAGTACTTCCCAGGATTCACAATGAAGACTTTAACCATAAAAGTTCTTTTTCATCCTAACTGTTACTGAGTTGTTATATAAGTCACAGAATACACACTTTATTTTAGCCACTCTCTTGATGGCTGTAAGATGTGAATAACATGCAGTGAGAACTAGGCAGGCTAAATTACAGCCTTCACACCGTGATCACAGTTAGTTTTCACTAAGCCTCTTATATTGTGTATATTTTTTTAGGTTTTTATGCACAGTTCATCAGAAATGTACTATAGATTGCATAGAAAATATATTTAATCTTGCTGATATTTTTGCTGCTCTTCTTAGTGGTCATAAATAAATGTACCACATTCTACACAGCCACTTTTTACTGATCTTATTTATTTTTACGTGTATATTTTACATTTTTTATATATATATATATATATATATATATATATATATATATATATATATATATATATATATATATATAATTTTTTTTGGGGGGGGGTGTGGGTAAGGCAGGATGGTGACATATAATTTCAAGTGTACACACAGATCAAAGATAGGACAAAGGCAGTACAAAACAAACAACCAGACAATGAAGAGTGCATAATCCAGTGGGAAACTAGATTTCTTGAATAGAGTCATATGAATTCTCCCTGTTACTAATTGTTGAATGCTTTGCTTTGTTAAGCTTAGTTGTAAGATGTTCCCTTCAAATTAGATTTTGATAGCTAGATATCCAGAATTTCATAGCTGGAAACTGTGGGGTAGTATACAAAGTTGTAAGACCATTTTTGGTAGCTGTAAAACTTGCTTTTAGCATCCTTGTGTCAAAGAAAACTGAAGGGTTGAGTCATCATTTAAGAGACATAAATGCTGTGACAGAGGCGTACTGAGATCAAGTAATTTACATAATATATCTACTGTAGGGGTCCATATGTCTGTTACTTTAGAACATTCCCAGAACACTTGCATAAATGTACCAGATGCAGAGTTACAAATATTGTAGGAGTAACTAGAAATAGGTTTCATTTGATATCTCCTGTAAGGTGTTTTATATGGTCTGTGAATTATTTTATAGTGGATAAACTCATGAGCCAAATATTTAGCGGTTTGTCTTAAATTAGACTGTGTAGTATTTCAGTTTAAAGCAGGACCGGTAGAGAAAAGCTTTTGCTCCCAGTGTTGTTCAACTGCCAACGGCTTAATATGATAGTATACCAGAGTACTGTATATAAGCAATACTCTGCCCTGTAGATTGACCAAAGGCCTTATCCAGTCTGCCAGTGAGACTTGGCAGTACTGTCCCAGCATGACTCCATACGCTTGAAGACAAAGTATGAAGAAGGGAGGATGTTGAAAAGCATCTGAAGATCCTGAAATGACAACAGACCACTCTCGCTACATGTCTCCTGTTTATTTTACCTTGAGAGGATCAAAATGAGTTACAGAATGGTTTACCCCCAATCAAAAACTTGAAATTATTCCATAGACAGATTTACCAGACTTTTTGGCGACTGTTACTACTAGCCCATCTGTCTGTTACAGTTAAGCTCGCCTTTGGGGTTAGTTGTAATGTTTGCACTCAGTTTGCTTTCATATTTATGGGTCATAAATAGTAGATACTGGTAACTTTATATTAGAAAGAAAAAAAACTTTAAAGTTATTGTAAATTGAATTTTATTCACTGTAATTATTCAGAATTTTTGTTCATTTGGTTCATTTGTCATGAAAAGCTGACAATATAAAGAGCAGCTGGGTTTTGAAATTGGGGGGAAAATGTACTCGTGAGGTTTTGATATGATAGAAAAAAATGACATTGTTCATTAATGTAGCCTTAGTCTTTAGTTTAATCCCAAAACAAGTAAAGCATGAATTTTACCTCAGCCCACACACAGTAAGTTTTTTGCATGAAAGTGATTTTTATTGCATCTCTGTGATGCTGTTATGAAAAGGCTCAGAGTACAGCCCGTAGAGCCCAGTGAATGAGTTTAACGATTAAGCTTTTAGAGGTAAAGACCAACATGATGTCAGGATCAATCAGCTGAGAAATAATCAGAGGTTAACCCCCCACATCACACTGCTCAGCTAGACTTTCACTCACAGCTTAACATGCCAAAGAGCTAGAGGTGCCTAGGGCCCCTCTCTCTCTCTCTCTCTCTCTCTCTCTCTCTCTCTCTCTTTCTCTCCCTCCCTCTCCTTCCCTCCCTCCCTCTCTCTCCCCCTCCCTTCTTCTGTTTCCCCACCAAACTATCTAAACTAACAAACAGGCTAACACTCTGAAAAATTAATGGTGTAGTGTGCCCCCACCTCCTCCCCCCTGCAAACCTACACCCCCAAATCTTGTGCTTATGGTGTGTTGGTGTTTATTTATTTATTTATTTTTTGGACGGGCCTTAGGGCGGCGAGAAGATTGACAGGCTGGATGGCGCACATGCCCCTGAGCTGACCAATAAGGTGCAGCGGCTGGCGTCCAGTGGGGGAGGGCCTGCCGGGGTGGGGGACGTCCCTAAAGAGGAGCTTAACGAGAGACTGAAGAAACTCATCAACGCTGCGCCCTGCATGCTGTTCATGAAGGGATCGCCGCAGGAGCCACGTTGCGGTAAACACGTACACACACACACACAAACACACACACACACACACACTCACAAACAAGCCACAAGAGGGTCCAGGTAAAAGGAGGGAGTGTGTATCTGTGTGTGTGTGACTTTGTGTTTGAACGTATATGACGGAGAGTGTAGTGCTAAGAAAGAATGAAGGTGTGCTAGAGTAACTGAAAAGGTGAGCTGTAGAATAAAGCACAGGTTCCTAACCCTGGTCCTGGAGTATGTGCACATTTGTCTTTTTAGCTTGGGAATGGCTTGTTAACGAGCTGATTATTTGGACTAGGTGTGTTTGTAACAGGGAAAAACTTAAAGGTGCAGGGTAAGGGGTACAGGACGAGGGTCGGGAACCACTGTTATAAGGTAATCGTGCCCTGACCTCTCTGAGGAGTGGTATTAGGTTGTTTGGGTGAGTGACTCATTCTCTTATCGATGTACATGAACACTTAATTCAAACCGGATGTAAACCAAAAATGCACACCACAGTTACTTGAATGCTGTAGTTAGTCTTCAGAAACCTCGTGTGTGATACAGAACTGTCACAATTACTTCATTAAATTATTTGATGAAGAAATAAAATGTTATTTTATGTTCTTATTTTTAAAGCCTTCCTTTATTTCTTTTTCAATAAAGTATTCTGAAGTCCTTGAAATGTCCTGTATAGTGTGCAGTTGTTCAGTTAAGCCTATTTTTATTGTTTGGTTTTGAAAACAAGCATAAAAATAATCTGCAGATTACTGGATTATTAATATATCACTGTAAGGATCACAGGACCATTTGGTAGCTTTCCTAACTTGGCTCACTTGATAGAATTCATGCATTTACATTTCTTGAAAATGGGATAGTTGTGTCTGCAGAACTCAAGCCAAAATTGGATCCTAATATTATTGAAAGTGTGCTCTGTTAGCTTGCTAATAATGGTGAGACATGTGTGTTTGGTGACAGTAGTTGCAACGAAATGGCTTCATCTTGACTTAACATTAACATTTTGTAATGCAGATCAACTTGCGGTGGTGTTTTCAGATGTAAAGTGCATGTATCAGAGAAAATCAAACCTAATTTATTTATTTTTAGTCAGATTAGAACAGTTGTGGATGTAGGTATGAAAGCACCATGTGCCTCATAAAGCACTTTTCAACTGCAGCCACTTATGGCAGCACAGTATTGCACAGAGGAAGTTAACAGGTCCTCTTATGAATTCTGCATATATGTCCATCGCCAGCAGAAACGAAAGCAGACTGTAATTCAGTATTAATTATTTCTCTCTGCGGATTCTAAACTTTCAGTTGAGACCATGATTGTTTTAAGTACAAGATGTTTTATTTTGCATACAGAAATATTTTTGCCACATTTTTGGCCTTTTTTTGACATAAACAGATGTAAAAAGTTGGAAGTCTTTGCGTAATTACGTTTGAACAGTATAGCAAAACAAAAATAAAATCTCTCAACTTTTAGGATTACGAATATCCACAGTGTGGACTGGACTTGTTTTTGCATGTCTCACAGTTTGTACGCTTAACAGCTTTGAATTTTCTTGTTTGCCCTTTAGTCCAGAGAAGATCTTAAACACAATTAGGAAGAACTTAGAGAAGTGATTGTGATGTATGTAAAGTACAGAGAGGAAGTATTTCAGCTGCGTTATATACAAGAAACTTTATAAAAAAACTATATAAAAGAAACTTTGCATATGTTTGTATAGGACAAATGTATTCATTATTCATTTACATTCAGTTCAGATTTTCAAAACATGTTTACATTAAGATTTATTATTTTTTGCTCTCCACATCTACCAAAGTTCAAAATACATATTTCATAATGGACTGAGGCAGACTAAAGAATTACCATGTGGACCACGGAAAGAGTCAAGTGAAGAAAGTACAGGTCTGCCGTACACGTTCTCTTTCTCCGAGCCGATCACAGAAGCCTTCAGCTCGCGGGTCCCGCAGCCGTAGTCTTGTAGGCAGGCTCGCTCTTTCATGTGCTGCCAGTTCCTCTAGCCCTGTTTTATATGAAAAGGATCTGCTGCATTTATTCATTTGTGACATCCAAGCCAGAACCTGTTGCTAAGTGCAGCCGTGTTATTTAAAGCTGGACCAGGTGTCAGTAGGTGGGTCGGAGTCGGAGGAATTTTTAATGTTGTAAGTGATTGAAGTTCCCACTCGCTTGGCTTCTGTCCAAATCAGTGAGATTTCACAGCGACCGCAAGTCACTCCTGTTGAGACTAAAGTGTGGTGTTTAAGCTTTAGAGGCAGATTTAACACACACACACTCTCCTTCCCTGTATGCACAGAGCTAACTGACAAAGCTCTCAGCAAACACGCTTGAAATGTGCCTCCCCATCTCGAATTAAAAGGTTACCTGCTCCCATGTCAAGCTCATATATATAAATACTCTCTCCCTCTGTTTGCATACTAAGATAGCTCTCCTCGCAGGGAGAAAGTGAGACTTTAATGTTGCCTGGCTCCTGGAGCAGAGTCGGGCCTAGCGAGCGCTTGTCTGTCCCTACAGGGAGGAATAAAAGTGGGGGAAAGACCTCAGCAATCAATCCAGCGTGTCTGGTGGAGGTAGCCTGGAGCCAGAGAAGGCAGCTGGACCGCGTGTTTGCCTGCTCTAATAGAAACAAGTTAATATAGTGCCAACTGCATGAGCATTAGTGAGCCGCCTCCAGCTGTTTTATAATGAATTCCCACGTGAGTGGGGAAAAATCAGAATGGGTATTTTACTGCAGGGGGTTACACAAACCCAGCACATCACCTTATACACATCTCTCTCTTTTGCCTTCTCTCACTTTCTCACTTGCTCTCTTTCTTTCTTTCTGCTTGTATCCAGTCTGCCTCCCTCTCTTGTTGCTTTTTTTCCTCTCATCCCTGCTTCTCTTCTTCTGTATCTCCTTAACCCCTGTCCAACAAACCTTCATTGACATTTGAAGATTGAAAGAAAATATGATTGTGACTATTAAAGTATTAGATGTTAAGTATATGTACTTTTTGAAGGTACACTACATAGTCAAAAGTATGTGGACATCCAAACGTCAGTAGTGAGTGTGGCTGAAATAGCCAATCCTGCTTATTAAGTGTCCACATATTTTTGGCCAAGTGTGGGTTGAATACTCAAATGCAGTCTTACTAATCAGTGCCTAAAATCAAGGGCATTTATTATTATTAATTATTAATTATTATTATTTATCTTTACTCAGTACAGTATGCTTTAGCCATCAGACAGTTAAGATTAAGCATATTTGTATCTATCTGCTTAGCTTGCAGCTTAATTAGCTTAGCTGTGTCCTAGAGATCTAACTCAACATACCCACCTTTAACACTTTAATTTGTTAGCTCATAAGCTGTGAGAATTTCTTTTGTGGATCAGCTTACCAAGAGGCTATCACTACCAGTCCCTCTTCTCACCTCTTTGAGCAAAGATGCCTGCCAGAGCATGCTCTAAGCGCTTGTCCAGTTAAAAATAAAATGGAAAAGGGCATAAACAGTGAATTCTGTTAGAATGGGAAAACTGACTGAGTGGTGCACGCAGGATTGTCAGGTTTAATAAAGACTTTTTGTCCATTTGAATTCTGCCAGCTCAGTGTGACTTGGTTATTTGGCCTCCTTTTCACTAACTCTGTCCAATTAACCGTTGTGTCCTTTTGGTAGAACTTGAATGAATGCATGAATGAATACCACTTTTAGATGCTGTTCGCCTAGATTTTCTAACATTCTGAGATTGGTCATACACCAATGCATATAAATGTACTATTTATAGCAACACACCTGCAGTGTAATTAAAGGAAGCCGTTCATCATTGCAGAACTGGTTAGGTTCATAAAAGGTAGGTTGCAGATCTCTACTAGGTGAATCTTTTGAATCACAGTGATAGTCAAACAGACAGTAGGGAAAGCTTCAGTCCAATTCAGTGTTTCTGTAACTGAAATGATTTTGAATAAAGAATCAGTTCAGATAAAACCTGTTTGTGTGCAGGTCTTTTGATAGCTGTTGTCTTTTGGGGTTGCAGGCTTCAGCAGGCAGATAGTGCAGATTCTGAAGGACCACAACATCCAGTACAGCAGCTTTGATATCCTATCTGACGAGGAGGTTCGGCAGGGGCTGAAGACCTACTCCAACTGGCCCACCTACCCTCAGGTGTATGTTAGTGGAGAGCTGGTTGGAGGGCTGGACATTGTCAAGGTGAGAGGAGTCACCCTGTTTCTGTGGCTGTTTACTGCACTAGCCCAGTGTAGTGTTCTACCTTAAATCTAGTTTATATGATGATGAAAATAATGTGAGTTTATTTAAGCAGTTAATTTAAATCATTAAAAAAGTAATTAAAAATCATTTTAAATCATTAAAAAATGCTAAGAAACACTGTCAAAAATAATTTCTCAAAAGATTATGGTCACTAACACCAAAAATGAAAAGTTCTGATGTTTTTGTATGCAGCGATGAGATATTTAATATAAATATAAAATATATTTTCATGTGTTAAAACATCTTAGAAGGTATGAATTTATAGGAGACCTCGCTCAGCATTTATCAGGCTTCATATGCTCACGGATGTTTCTGAACGAGTACTCAATCATTCTCAATTAAAAGTATTATTTATATTCATTTGGTTTTATTTAAAATATTCCCATTTTTGATTTGTAATATATAGTTACACATTATTGCATTCTTTTCTGTGGTGGACTTTCCAAAGATGCCATGAGATAAATGTGCTATAATGTTATGTCAGATAAGAAGTTGACATATTGTGACTTAACAAAGTCTTTCTGGATTTCTGCCTAATTAGCTAGCGGCCTAAGAGAAGCTCAGTCTTTTAAAATCTTTATTTAGCATTGTGTTTCCATAGTCAGTTTAGCTGGTTTACTGAATGGATAGCCAAGGTCATATTCCATTGCTAACTTAGTGGTCCTAGTTCACTTCCATTGTGAGTGAAATAACTTTCCAGATGCTTTTAAAACTGCTTTGATGAAGCCTCTGCTAAAGAAGAGTAGCATGGATCCTTCCATACTAAAATTTTTTTTAGATGAATTTCAAACCTACTTTTTTTAAGTAAAGTCTTAGAAAAAGTTGTTTTATATGTTTTTCTATGTTGTCTAATATCAAGCAAGTTATATGAGAAGTTTGTCAGGTTTTCGTTCTAACCATACTACTGAGACAGCATTGGTTTGCGCTGTGAACAACCTCAGAGTCAGCGCTGATGCACAAAATCCTTCTATTCTGGTTTTATTAGATCTTAGTGCAGCTTTTGATACCTTTGATCCCAAGATTTTCATCCAACATCTTCAATGCTGAGTCAGCCTCTTGGGCGCATATTTAGGTAATAGGCAGTTCATGGTTTCAATGGAAAATCATTCATCAAAAAGATTTGGCATTTCTTGTGGAGTCCCTCAAGGTTCAGTTTTAGGGCCTTTGCTTTTCTCTTTGTACATGCTACCTCTAGGCGATGTCATTAGGAAACATAATATACATTTTCATAGCTATGCTGATGACACCCAGTTATACATTCCCATTCCTTCTGATGATCAAGACTGTAGACAGACTGATCAGCTGTGCGTCAGATATTTCTTGGTGGTTGGAGCAACATTTTCTACACAATTCATATAGATGCTACAGCTAAAGCTGCTCATATCTTTAATCAACCAAACAGATTAGCTAGCCTGCTGTCTCAGTCTCGGTCTCTCAGATGCTTGGCAGCAAAACTAATTGAGATTAATACCAACATAACAAATAATACTCGAGTATTTGAATTGTTCAGGGCAGCCCTATTTAAAGGCATTTACTTAACCTCCCCAAACTAATTTAAAGAGTCTTAATCCTTTTAGAAAATAATGAACTTTATCAGCCAACGTGTACATTCTAATAATGTGTCTTGGATTAAAGGTTTTGTTAGAGTTAGAGTTCTTATACCAGCATTCTCAACTTTTCCAACGGTTACACTGGTCTTTGGCTCAGTTTTGTTGAAGAAAGTTCAGATTAAAGGTCTTTCTCTGTGAGCAGACTTAAGTATTGAGGATGGTCTGTTCTTATGGATGGTCTGAGACTCTGTGTGTGTGTGTGTTCTTGTTCTCTGCTTGTTGTTTTTAGCTTCAGTGTGGTGCGTCTACAGTCCCTTCGAGCTCATTCTGCTTAAAGCAAGCACAGCGCCCCTGCTGTGAGAGGTGATATAGATTAGCCAACAACAGACTCCTTCGTTTATTCATTCTCTCTCCTGCTCGTGGAGAAGTACCCCTCCTTCATTAAAAGAGTCAGTTCACCTGCACAGCATGGTAAAAGAACTCTGCAGGGTGCCGGTTAGCTGGGGTAGAGTGTGCGTGTGTGCGTTCAGCAACAGAGGGATGAAAGTGTGTGCGATTGTGCAGTGTGTGAGCTGCAGTTTCAGAGATATCTCTTCTGTATCTGCTTCTGTACCTACTGTAGGAGCTGGTTGCATCTGGCGAGATTGAGAATACCTTCCCCAAGACTGTCACACTGGAACACAGGTAACACACACACACACACATATGCAGACTTGCACAATTAAATTAAAGAAAAAAAAACAATGTTCTCTTTCAACAGGTTGAAATCTCTCATAAACAAATGTCCTGTCATGCTCTTTATGAAAGGAAATAAAGAGGTGAGTGGCTTTTAGTGTGCTTATTTCAAATCTTAAAATCTCTCTCACATACTCACTGTCTCTTGTTCTCTCTCTCTCTCTCTCTCTCTCTCTCTCTCTCTCTCTCTCTGTGTGTGTATATGAGCTGAAAACCTGTTTCTGTCTTGGACTTTTGACTAAAATCTCTTTTGCATAACTCAAAAATGATAGCCAGTGCATGACTAGCAAACACAGCTTTGAACAGTTGTACACACACAATCATATTTTTCACTAAAACACAAAGTTTACTTAATTGCAGAAAACGTGTTTCGGTAGTGACAACTCTTGATGTTCCAGACTTTGGGACACATTTACTTCAAAACTGAGTAGAAGATGTCAATTTGTAAATATGCTTATTTACTGTATAGTTAAAAACGTCATAAGATGAACAGTGAAGAAGAGAAAAATGAAGTGTGTGTGTGTGTTTAAATTACTCTGTTAAGAAGATGCCACAAAGGGTTCTTTGAGCAATGCCATAGAAGAACCACTTTTGGTTCCCTAAAGAACCATGTTTGAAAAAGAGATTTATAACAGCTAAAAACCATTTAATAGCTTTACTTAATATTAATGTTGTTTATCTATTAAAGGGTATTTTCATAGAACCTTCACATTATGTGTTCTTTAAACTTCAATAAGGTTCTTCACATGTCCTTTCTTATCTCCTTTTCTCTAAAGAACCATCCATTGAAAGGTTTCTTTATGGCATGATGCAAAGAACCCTTTATTTCTTAAGAGTGTAGTTCTCTTGCGCACTCGTCTTAGAAACATGAATTAAAAACAGAAACGAAATGCATTAACATACATTTAGAGAGGCTGTTCAGAAAGCAGGCCATACAGGAAATCAATGTTGTGTGCCTGAAAGAGTGGAGAGAGCTGGAGTTCTCCATCTTTAATGGGGGAGAAAGACCCCTCACCTCTCTCTTCATATCACTATTGATTTCTGCAGCTCACACATGAAAGCAGTTCTTTGGAGTAGTTTTAAACCTGTTCTCCTGAGATCCCTCCCTCTCTCCCTCCCTCTCTCTATCCTCATCATGCTTGTGCTTGCCCCCCCCCACCCCCCCCTTCCTTCTTTTTCTTGTTGATAAGGATCTTACTTCTCTCGCGGTGGAGACAGTTCTGAAGTGTAGACTTTACAGACAGGAGTGGTTGTACGTTGCTAAATGAAAGCCGGGTTTGGTACCAGCCTGTGGTCTGAAGAGCTAGCGATGGCTGGCTGTGAAAATCCGCAGTGCCGAGTTTCCTTTGAGCTTCCAACAGACTCAGAGAGTGGAGTGGCTCTTCAGGGAGAGTTTTGAAGACTAAATCCCTGCTTCCTCTGATTGCACTCATTCCACTCCTCTGCACTCTGCAAACATGTGCTTGTTCTACCTTCCCTAATGTGTGTTTATGGATTTAGGTCGCCAAATGCGGATTCAGCCGTCAGATTCTTGAAATAATGAACAGCGTGGGGTAAAACCTTTGACATCTTATTTCATTTACTTCATATATGTCTACATAAGGTGAATTATGTAAATCACTTTTCATTAGCATGTGGGTTGTGAAAATCCAAGAGATTGTGTGTTATTAGTCAGCTTGTTTGATTTATGTATAAATTATTCAGAGCTATTATTTTTTTTCTTTTTTGCAGAGTTGAATATGACACCTTTGATATTCTTCAGGATGAAGAGGTAAAACACAGTTGTGAAGTCTCTCTGAATGTCTCCACATTTACTGTAGAGTTTTCTGTTAGAATAGCAGTATATATGTAAAATAGGGCAATTCCCATGTTGAGCTTAAAATACTGTGATTACACTGGTACGTTTCTCAACCTAGAGATTTTAGTCTGTGTTCTGATGATGGTTTGTGCTAATGGTCTCACTTGCATGACAACTGGTCAGACACATATAGTATAAGATACTGAAGTTAACGCTGAAGAAATGGTCTATCATATGATTCTAATGGAAATAATTGTGTTTATAAGTAACTATGTTCATGGCTGAATGCGCTTAATGTAGGCTACTTCCAGAATTCCACTGATCACGTGTTGGTTTTAATGAGATGTGACTTCATTCATTGCTTTACTCTGCATTACTCAAATTACTGTTATGTCTGTTCCCTCAGGTTAGGCAGGGCCTAAAGGCGTATTCCAACTGGCCAACATATCCACAGCTTTATGTAAAAGGGGAACTCATCGGAGGCCTGGATATCATCAAGGTGACAGCCACATTAGCCAATGACACTAACCTACACTTAAACAAACATATCTTTAATGATCATTAATCAGCTAAGCTGTATCGTATATGGAGCTATCAGATTCAGGCAGAAATGATTTAAAAGTTATGCAGGTGACAAATACTTGTTCAGCACATTCAAAGGCTAGTGAGCCTCAGTATTGCTGTTTCTCATGAGCATGAAGAGATGATTAGCCCTTTGTGAACTACAAAATGAGTTCATATAAAAAAAATAGCTGTTTTGTTTTATGGTTGGAGTTAATTGATATAACAATATTTTTTGTTGAATATGACTTTTGACCTTCAGTTGAAATGGGCACACTTTTCATATTCAATATAGATTATTAAAATCAACCAAATATATTAAAAATGCCTAATCACTGTATTATCAAGCTCTTCATGAGCTAAATCAAGTGTGGTGCTGCAGGGAAGAGTTGAAACGTTGGAGGGCTGTGGTTTCCTATCTAGATCCTTTACATTATACCACAGGGGTGAAACTGGGGTGAAACACAGCTCTACAGAAAATAGCCTTTACCCTTTTCTAACACTCTGAGTTCAACTCATGAAGATGATGCTAATTAGCTCAAGTTGAATCAGTTGTGTTTAATAAGGAGTAAGACTGCAGTGCTGTCCTCCGGATGGAACCCCATTTGACACACCAGGAATATATAATCCCTAATGGACCATGGTCATTTATACATGACACACATTTTATAGGCATTTATCTCAAAACCTCTCAAAGAAGAACATATTTATTGACATTTGGTGGTATGTAAATACTTTATCCTCAGTAAATATACTTACTATGATGTGCTTTGACCATGTATTCACCAAAGAAACCAAAGATCTTGCTTACAACAGAAAATAAAAGTAAGATTGGGCAGATTTTCTGCAAGTGAAATGCAATTGGTATTTATTTTTTTTTTTTAATAATAAAACTACCTGATTTTCTTGGTAGTTTTAAAATGACATCAGCAGATTGAGAATTAATTATTCGTTACATTTTGTTTGATAGAGGCATTATTCATGTTTTAATAGAACTCTTTTTCTTGTATTCTGTGAACCACTTCTCTACATACAAACACTTCCTGCAGTATCAGTACTTGTCCATAAGAGGGCATAAAAATCACACATATGCAAGCACTTTAAGGCTCACCAAAACACTCAGCAATAAAGAACCATCTTTGTGCTTGTTAGGATGTGTCTCTCAGTAAGTGAGGCATGCGTGCTTGGTTTTGAGACAAAAGGAAACCAGTGGAGTTTCACAATGCAGCTAGCTTTAACATTCACACCATTGCAAATACCCTCAAGATTACAAATACCACTTTATCAGGAACCCCTGCCTTGCGTTTCCACTCTCTGGCCACTTTGGTCAACAGATACAATAGGTTCTAACAATTGAAGATGTACACCATCTTACAGCGTACGCTGGTACGTTTCTCAGCCTAGAGATTTTAGTCTGTGTTCTGATGATGATGGTTTGTGCTAATGGTCTCACTTGCATGACAATAGTTCAATAGTTTACATATAGATCAATACTTAAAGTTAATGCTGAAGAAACGGTCTATCATTTGATCCTAATGGAAATAATTGTGTATAAGTAACCAAGTTCATGACTGAATGTACTTCAATGTAGGCTACTTCCAAAATTCCACTGCTTTGTTTATGTCAATGAGATGTGACTTCATTTATTGCATTACTCGGTTTACTGTTTCGTGTGTTCTCTCAGTTAAGGCAGGGCCTAAAGATGTATTCACAGCTTTATGTAAAAGGGTAACTCATCGGAAACGTACATATTCCAAGGCATGCACGCTTGGTTTAGAGACAAATAGAAATCAGTGGAGTCTCACAATGCAGCTAGCTTCAACATTCACACAATTACAAATACACTCATTAAGATTATAAATACCAGGTTTACAAATTATCAGGAACCCCTGCCTTGCGTTTCCACTCTCTGGCCACTTTGTCAATGTATAGGTATAACAATTGAAGACTACACCATCTTGTTGTCATACGCAATCATCATTGGTCAGTTTTTCATCACAGGACCACTTTTGACCAGATATTATTTGTGATATTTGGTGGACCATTCTCAACATCACAGTGAGACTGACATGGTAGTGGTATGCTGATGTGTGGCGCACTGGTGCGAGTGTCACTGCGGGGTTGAGAGTGGTCCACCACTAAAAATATTCTGCCAAGAGCAGCTCAATGGTTAGAAAATGACCTCTGATGAAGGGTTAGAGAATAGCTAACACAAATTATGCATCAACAAATGGGCTGCAGTTTCTAACTTGGGTGATGGTATGCTGTATTTAGAGCAACCACAGTGATGGAATCTGCATGCAGAAACAAAAGGCCTTCTTTATTCCCACATAACGGAGCTGTGTTGTGCTTCAACAGGAGCTGAAAGAGAACGGTGAGCTGGAGTCAGTGCTCAGAGGAGAGAACTAAGAGAAGAGATGGGAACAAAGTTACGCCAAAAGTCTCTGCTGCTGTAATCAGAGGCATCCTAGAGGTCACAGGGGGACAACCCGTTGTATTCCAGCCAGTTTATTTCTTTTTGGAGATAAGATGAACTAATGTGGAGATGCAGTGTTGTTGTGCAGGATCCACCAGTGAATTGAGAAATGATTGCTGCAAATCTAATAAAGCCATTGCCTCTGTTAGAAGTGAACATTTGTTGGCTTTCTTGGTCCGTCTTATACAAACCTACTTATACAATTCCAAAAATGTAGGGACAGTATGTGAAATACGAATAAACAGTTTCTCAAAGTATTCCCAAACCCATATGGTGATATTCATCACAAAAAAACATGCTGGTTTTTAAGGTAGTCCTGTCTGACTTCTCTGGATTTCCTGAATCTTTTGATGATAGCGCGCACTGTGGAGGGTAAAATTATGGTTGCCGAGAAGACCCAACAAACTGCAAATAAAAACGAGCAGCAAATGCAGAAAACACTTTAATCAAAATGACAACATGGGTACTTTGTTTTACAAATGTGCTGCAAATTTGTAGACATTCTGTAAACTCAGAAAACGCTTTCCTTAAAATGACGACACTGACGCTACATTTCACAAACACCCTGCAAATACAGAAAACACATGCAAATACAGAAACGCTGATAAGCCAGTCACAACACAACGGAGGTGTTTCTGGAGGACACTCGGAGAGGACGGCGCCATTCAGACTTTTAAATTCTATGCAGCATAAGTATAAAAGCATAAGCAGAAGTAAGCTGTTTTATTTGAGCAGGTTACTGACATCACTGTATTGTAATGTGAATTAGCTGTTAAACTAGTAATACCAGAGAACAACCACAGCACAGCTACTACATGTCAGATAGCAAAACTAACCAGCTGAGATTAACCATGAACTTTGGATGTGAGTATCTGTGGTCTTACTTACTTCTGTTAGTGATTTTCCACCATAGCTATTCCATCCCCTTTGAGTCTTCGAGAAACTTTTCCGTTGTGTTGTGGCTGACTTCTGGTTTTGCAGCGTTTGTGACGTTGCCTGTGTTTTCCGTGCTTACAGTGCGTTTGTGAAATATAGTTCAGGTGTAGTCATTCAGATGGAAGTGTTTTCTGTGTTTGCAGCGTGTTTATGACTTTGCAAAGTATTTTTAATCGTACTATGAATAGGGTCTTGTCAGCCACCGTATAAAATATCTAAAATACTGCAATTGCTTTCTGAGGAACGTTGTTCTTAAAGTTTTTTCACTGATGCATTTTGGCTGGGTAGCGTGGCTTGACCCATCCTTGCTCATAAAGGACTAGCCTTTCCTGGATTCTTCTATATCCTCATGATTGTGTTTAAGATGTTTTTTGAATATTTCAAGTTTCTTGTCCTAAAATGCTCCTATCCCAACCTTTTTGGAATGTGCTGCAGGCATAAACGTTAGAATGAGCATATATTTGCAAAGAAACAGCAAATTTGGTTTGGAATAACATTAAACACCTTAGCTTTGTAATGTGGATTTACAAATCACTGCTGTTTTCACTGTGTGTTTCTCATGCTGCCCCACCGTTATTTTGGAATTGAGGTTTATACTTCTGTAACTTGGTGTTCTGAAAAAAGGCTTGCAGTTTTCCCTCAGAATAGAGTGACCTTAACACTACATAAAGGGTCTGAGTGTATGTGTGTGGAATCACAAAAATGTCAGATGCCCCTCAGTATTCATCTGATGCGCACACACCGCAAGCTACTGTGATCAGATGTGACCGCTGCACCATCCTCACCTGCTCAAATTGCAGTCGGCTTCAGCATGTGCTGGAGAAAGATGCGACCCCGTTATTATGAATAAACAAATCATAAATATTTATCAACAGGCGGTTGCGAGGTCTGCTCTCACCTCGGCTGGCTCTGAGCCGGGAGCACAGAGCAGCCATTAGCCCCCTGCTCTTCTACACACACGCACACCTGTGGCTTTATGGGTAATTACTGCACTCCCACTGATGCCCTGGCTGTGCTGAAGAGGAGACTGTTTGAACGCTGCAGTACACCACACGCTCAGATATTCAGTCATTATTTCTTGTATGCACAGAAGTACAGTTACTTATGTTTTATCATACACAGAAAAGCTCCACTAGGACCGTCCTCTTATGCATACATACACACACATACAGCTGGGTTGCTACAAGCGTGCTTTAGAGTATTGCCCAAAGCACTGCATGCAGATCTTACTCTCTTTTCTCATCAATATTCAAATTCATTTTAATGTGTTCCACATGCTTTAGTGTTTTCTCAAAAGGAGACCATTCTCATTTTAATGGCTATTGTATTTGAATTTGGAGGCTACCTATGTCAAATTGATTTATAATTTCAATCTAAAGGGAATATAATACTTTAGAAAAATTGCATATGTAATGTTTATTCAAATAAGCAAGAATATTTTAGATATTTACATGTTTAGTTTACCATTTATTATACATTTGGTAAATTGTGTCCTATTTTGTCCTCCAAAGATTTGGAGGTAAAAAGTAATTTATTGTTGTTTACTTAGGAATAAAGAGGAAAAGGCATCACTTCTTAATTTTTCATATTAGTGACATTAAGTATTGTGCCGTTTTGCAATAGTGGCATGAATTAAGTCCCCCATTTTAGACTATTTTAGGCCGTTTCTGTAGTCAGTCATTGCGTGGAGGGGTTTATGACTTCAATCTCCTTTTCATCAGTAAGTAAAGTCCAAACGTTTCCCTTGTTTACTTTGATAGTATGCTTTGTGAACGTGCCTTGCAGGGGCATAACCAGAACGTTTTCATTGGGGTGGCCAGGTTAGTCCCACCAATTTCATTGGGGTGGCAAAGAAGCTTGGGGAAGGAAGTGTGCAGTAATATGAGAGAATAACATTTGGCTGGGTAACAACATAACCTACTTTATCCTTCACAGTGCACTCACAGTGTCCCTATAACAAGCACCCAACTGTAAAAAGTGTTTAGCTTACATGATAAACGATAGATGTTACTATACGATGGTCAATGTTGTTAGTTACTCATTTCTGATAGTTACCTCATCTTACCATCGTATAATATAGCCCACAGAGCAGAACTGGGCTAGTTATAAGTGTGGTCTAGAAAGACTAGCAAAATAATATTGTTATTAACTGGTTAATCATGTTTTTACATACAGTTACTCTCTGGAAAATACAGTGATTTTCTCATGCTTTCTAAGTTCCCTGTACTGTTTCTTCTCTGTGCTGATATTAACCCTAACTCTGATGTAGAGATTTATTTAAGTGCTTTTAAATGCTTTGCTAATGTAGAAGGCCAGTGTCAGCTGCTTTCTCATGCAAAATGAACAAGAATAATGTTAATGTTTTGAGCCGTGTTCAGTTGCTTGTCTGATACGCTGATTATTGAGTGCAGCGTCAGAGCACAACTGGTTGGTAATGGCCCTGATGGCAGATTTTCATCATAAAACTGTTCACATAAAGTGGTAGAACTCCTTTATGGTGACCTTTTTATTGATGCTAACTGTCTGTCTTACTTCGTTTAACTGGGGTGGCCAGAAGAGTGGCCACTCTTCACAGGAGAAGCTTTAAGCTTTTTCAGTTATTTTTAAGCTTTCTGCAGTATTCAATTAAGATGTAAACAAAGTTATCCAGAGTGCTTTGATGAAAAACAGTGTTTTGTAGAGAAATTTAGGTTCTCTTTACCATAGTAGTGAGAGGGTTGAAGGATTGCTATGTCTACAGTGCAAATATTGACATTTTATTTACTATCCAAAATGACCAGTGAACCTGTATGTGTCTTCTGAGTTTTATATGTAAAGTTGATAATGCTGAACTAGTGATGCATTTTTCTTTCTACAACACATTGCGTGTATTTTAACAATACATTTTGGTCAAATCCTTGTCTCAAGCATTGGGCAACATTTCCCCAACCATTTAATGTAATAGCTTTCTGTGAGGTAGCTGTTAAAGGCATTACATTTACATTCATGGCATTTGGCAGACGCTCTTATCCAGAGCGACTTACAATTTGATCATTTTTACACTGGTAGGCAAAGGTAGTGTTAGGAGTCTTGCCCAAGGACTCTTATTGGTATAGTGTAGGGTGCTTGCCCAGGCAGGGGATTGAACCCCAGTCTACAGTGTAGAAGGCAAGAGGTGTTAACAACTACACTACACCAATATGGAACAGTTTGGCAAAAAGTCAAATTGACATGACTTACCACTTACCCCAAATGCGGTCCACCAGCCAAGACACGTTTAGTGTCCAATTTTTTTGTTGTTGGAGCTGCTAGGCTAACAGTGCTCACAAACACTGGAAGTCAGTAGTCACCATAACTGTTTCCACACATTAATGCCAAAATCTTCATATATTTCAAATCAAGCCAATAAGCTACATAAACTAGTTTAAAGAATGACAGTAAAATGACAAAAGACCTTATTTAAACATTTAAGCTAAAATTGGAACTAAATTATCATCCTCATTGCGTCCTTACAAGGAGGGTCTTCAGCGGAATATTCCAAAAACTAAGCTGTACCGAGTAAATTTTGCAGGTCACATCTCAAAGAAGTAAATCTAAGGTTGTTTACTTTTTCTACGTCTTGTCCACTTACTGTCATGCCGAGTCTTTAGAATGCCTCATTTTACATCAAACCATTCCGAATGACTTTATTTGCAGGTATTTAGAAAAATCTGTGAAATTCCCTTTTATCTTTCCTCCTGTTGTTAATTAAACAACCCACAGAACTCAGCAAAACAATAAATTACACCATATTTCATTAATGAAGGCACTTAAGCATAGAGCAATCATTATATTGTCTTTAGAAGGTGCTGCAGCTCATGGTCAAGTGTGAGTCAAGATGGAAGCCTGTGGGATCTTTTTGAGCTTCTTTTTCATCCCCCACAATCACATTTCACCATGTTGTATCATAAGTTCTCGCAGCTAGTAATTAACCAGCTTCAAAACCATTGTTCTGAATGAATAATCAATATGCCACTATGTGCTCGAAATTGAGAAAAGTTATCAAGGCTGTCTCAAAGTTCGCTTATTAGCTGCTCATCAATATGAGACAAAGCATGACTATTTGAGGCAGCGAACTTGGTCATCTTTGTCTTCTTTCTTCTTCCTTACACCCCTCCTCCCCTCCCACCGTTTTATCTTATCCTTTCCTCCTCCGAGTAACACGTACACACACAAGGACCTTTGCTAATGAGGGCCAGTTT